CATCAACCCCTTCGGTGACCGACGTGTCCACTGGGACGACGACGACCGTGGCGAGGACAGCGAGGACGACGTCCGCGGTCACCGACGTGCAGCGGAGGGCGCGAACTCGCGCTGGGAGGCCGGTTTTCGTGTTGATTTGTCGGAGTTCTCAGGCGGTCTCGATGTCGGCGACTTCCTGGACTGGATTGGAGCGGTGGAGACGACACTCAATTTCAAACAAGTGCCTGCCGATCGCCGCGTAGGGCTGGCCGCGACTCGCTTGCGTGGCCGCGCTTCGGCTTGGTTTATTCAACTTGAACAACGGCGGCATCGTTTGGGTAAATCTCCGATTACTTCTTGGGCTAAATTTCGTAGGAATATGGAAGAGGAATTTTTGCCATTTAATTACGTCAGTGTTGTGTATCAAAAATTTCAAACCCTTCGTCAAGGCACACGTTCGGTTGATGATTACACTGAAGAGTTTTACAGATTGCTTACCCGTATTGATAGCCGGGAAACCACTGTGCAACTAATTTCCCGGTATATTAGCGGGCTTCGTATTGCGATTCAGGATACCGTTAACATGTTCATGCCCGTAACTCTTTCGGATGCTCACCAACGTGCTCTCCTGGCCGAGCAGCAACTATCACGTCGGCCTTCCGCCGGTTTTTCTCCAGCCATCCGTTTCAGCCCATCGACGTCCGGCCCGTCAAAACCTGCCACGATTCCTGGGACAGCAGCCGGTCCTACAGGCGGCCGCGTGGGTCACGTGCCTTCGGGGTTGTCATCCGGCGCGACGGCGGCACCGGTGGGGCCTCGCCCAGGTGGTGGTCTCCGCTGTTTTTCTTGTGGCGAGGCAGGACATCGTCGGTCCGAGTGTCCTCGTTCGACCGGGGGCCGACAGTTATTTGTTGACGGGGATGGTGAACATGATGACCATTTCGCTTATGATGGACTGCCAGTGTTTGATACGGAGCCGTTGGAGAATGTTGAGGTTCATTGTGGTGATGTTGGCACGTGCCTTGTGCTGCGGCGTTCTTGTTTGTCTCCCCATGGCGATTCGGATTCTTCCAGCCAGCGACATCAGTTGTTTGAGTCCACATGTACTATTGGTGATCGTGTGTGCCGTTTTATCGTGGACTCCGGGTCTTGTGAGAATGTTTTGGCCGAAGAGGCAGTGTCTAAGCTTCGGTTGACCACGGAGCCGCATCCCCGTCCCTACACATTAGCTTGGACCAACCGTGGCAGTGGTGTGACTGTTAACCGTCGGGTCTTGGTCTCTTTCTCTATTGGCGCATCGTATCGTGATCGGATTTGGTGCGACGTAGTCCCTATGGATGCCTGCCACTTGCTATTGGGGCGCCCCTGGCTCTTTGACCGCTCGGTTCTTTATGATGGTCGTCTTAACACCTATACTTTCACATTTGACGGTGTTAAGATGATTTTGCAGTCCGCATGATGGCGACGAGATCCCCCCGGATTCGAGGGCGAATCCTCCCCAACCCGGGGAGAATGATGGCGACGAGATCGCATTGGCGTACTTGGACAAGTTTGACCCTCTTCGTATCTAGCTATTTATTTATTTAGTATTTTATCCTTATATTTATTCCCTTTTATTTATTTCCTATGTTTAGGATATTTATTGCTTTAAATAAGTTATGGTGGAGAGCCTATTTAAAGAGGCAGAAAACTCATTGTTATTCAGTTTTTACGATTGAAATAAAATATCTCTCTTGAGTTCTTCTGAGAATTCATATTGTTCCCATCGTACGTTTTTTACTGCGTCACATCTTCACTCTCGATGGTTGTCAATTAAACTTCCATCTGCTTCCTTTTCTTTTTCTTGTCAAATTCTTCAACTCATACCGCACGAACACGAGACGAGCAGCAGCCCACCGGAGCCTCTTCAATTTCCGGCATCATCATGTCCCCTCTACCCCCGGCCTTGTCTCCGCTGTCGGCCTCACCTTCGTCGTCTTCTCCCTAACCTACACGTGCTTCATATCCAAATTCACGTTCTCACCTGCTTCCCGCCACCTGGATCAACGGGTCTTCGGCCGAGAAAAATTGTTATTTGTCAGGTTATAGTTGCTGCAAATATATGTACACCTGAACAATAAAGAGTGAGAGAGAGTCATCGTTCTTCTGTGGAGGCTATGTTATGATCATTGACTACAAATGAGAGAGACTGCTATGTTTTATGAATTCAAGATAAAAGAGTAAGTTGGCCAAGAGAGAATCAGATTGGTGTAATGTAATAGGATTGATGTAATAAAAAGTAGCAAAAGAATGCAAGAAATAGAAATCATTTCCATGCACACAACAGAAGAAGAGGTGCAATATACAACAAAAAATGAGTAGAATCTTAGTTTATGGAAAAAGTACAAAAAAAAAGGAGCAGCAGAATGAAGCATGCCTTGATGTGTGCAAGCTCTCGTCACACGTGTTGGTTGCCGCCGTGAATGGCAGGCGGCGGTGGAGGCTGCCGGCGGCGTAGCCGAGCACGTTTTCGACGACCATGAAGAAGGCGAAGGAGGGCCCAAGTGGGGCCGTGGTTGAGGTTGTTTGAGATGTCAAGCATCCAAAAGTCGACTAAGAAAATGGTCGGTTTTCGGCGCCGGAGAGGTAGGCGATGAAGAATCCATGAAGCACAAGCTCACGAAAATTGAGGACGGACCACATGAAGTACCAAGCTACATGACTTCAGCTCCAAAAGCACGTTTTCTATTTTCTTCATTTTTAAAAGCAAAATATATGCAAAATTTCTAAAATGCCCTCGAAAAATCAATTTTTTAGGTCAAAACCACTTTATATCCGGTTTAAGGGGGCAAGATGAAAAAAACGTGAAGTTTGTATGGTTGTTTGTCAATAAAAATAATTGATATGGTAAAGCGCGAAAATTACGATAGTTCGAATGGGAAAAAGTAATTTACCCTACATAATATTATTGTACATAGTGGTATACATAACACTTACATTGAGTGGGACCTACCCAAAATTAAAAATTAAATGGACCCCACTCCTTGTGAGTGTTATGTACAACTCTATGTACATTTATTATGTACACATAGCATTACTCTTTATTTAAATGACCTCATTGTCTTTTTTTATAAAATGTAATAAATGAAGGGTCAAAAATGCCCTTATGTTATATAACAAATGTTCTTTCGTTTTTCTTTATGATATAACGAAAGTAAGTTCGTTATATACTTTTTATTAGAACTTGTTATATTTTAATTCCTAATTCTTTACTTATCTTTTGAACCTTTTGTTCAATTTTATATATGTTGTTATTCGGTTTTATGATTACTTCAGTACAATCATCTATTTTCGAAGAACTTGCTTCGTTTTCTTCATTATTCTGTTTAGGAATAACGTATTCTATTTTAGGTCTAACAAAAGATGAAGTTCTATGTACTTGAAAGGACCTTCTAGGTGCTTCTAGTTGTAATATTGGTGAAAACAATTCATCTATTTCAATTTTATCATGGGGTTTGAACGACAAACTGTGATGACTGTTAGTCAATGCATAGTTTATTCTCCACGTTACTGAAAATGGATGATTTCCAGTTTTCATTATTTTTCTTTTCATGTTCCAACACAAAGTGATGGAATCATCTAAATTATTGTCTAATAAAGACATTCCAACTTGGTAGTTTAAGTTAAACTTAATTTTACCAAATTTTAAATTTTCACTCCCTTCATCAGAATAATTAATCATTCTATTATC